ACAAACGCGAGAACGAAGTGGACGTTTAATCCTCCCGCTGCACCCCACATGGGAGGTGTTTGGGAGCGCCTGGTCCGCTCTGTGAAGGAAGCGCTGACAGCACTCGACGATGGAAGGCGACTAACGGACGAGATCTTGCAGACAGCAATCGTTGAAGCGGAGGACATCATCAATTCCCGTCCGCTCACCTACGTGTCGCAGCAGTCCAACGAAGTAGAAGCGCTCACCCCAAATCACTTCTTGAGGGGAGCGTCACCAAACCAACCAAGTGGCACTCTTCCACCTCCCCATCCTGCCGTGGCCCTTCGAGATGCGTTCCAGCGTTCGCAGCAATTGGCCAGCGTGATGTGGGAGCGGTGGATTAAGGAGTACGTGCCGTCGTTGAACCAGAGGACGAAGTGGTTCGGTGAGACACGACCATTGCGAGCAGGAGACCTGGTGTACGTCGTGGAGGGAGCAAATAGAAAGTGTTGGATCCGCGGAGTGGTGGAAGAGCCCATCGTATCCGGTGACGGTAGGATCCGTCAAGCGTGGGTGCGTACCAGCACCGGACGATACAAGCGAGCGACAGCGAAACTGGCCGTGATGGAGTTGGTTGAGGGTAACCCTGAGCCGGACGTGACCCCTCGGACAGAGTTACGGGCCGGGGAATGTTCTGGCAACACGGACCGTTCCGCCTCGCGATCGGCCGATGAGGCGAGAAGCGGTTTGGCCGATGAGGCGTGACAAGGTGACAGGTGAAGTAGAAGTGACAGGTGAGAAAGAGATAGAAAAAATAGTTAGAAGTTGATCGGACAGAAGTCGTGCAGGGAGAAGTAAACAAATAGAAAAGAAAGGTTGAAGTTTAGTTGAAAAGTAGATTGAGATTTAGAGCGTGTTTGTTAAGGCCCAAACGCAATGACGGCGGAAGCGGAACGGCAACGGCAGCGGAAAAGCCCGATCTGAGTAAGCCTACTTGTCTGATTGAAAACTAGTTAGATCCAAATCGACTTCGGTTAGACATCTTGATGTCATTAGTGACAACTGTCAAACTTTCCGTTTCCGTTCCGCTTCCGCCCACATTGCGTTTGGGCCTTTAGAAAAGGAGTGAAATTTCGGTGCGTTTTTTTTTTGAGAAGGTAAAATAATTAAACGACCGCAGTTTAATACACCAGGTTAGTTCAACATACAAAAATTGAAATACATTTAGAACAAAGAATTAAATTACAGTTTTTTACGACACAAAGAGGAGGTTAGTCGATGATAGACGAATCGACAAGATAGATTGGCAGACAGGTAAAACATGCAGAAAACGTTGGGAATAAATAATATTAATGCGCTTAATTGTGTCAGGCATAGTATCGGAAGCGAGGTTGGAAAGACAAGGAAAGTTTAGAGGAGGAAAACAAACTAAAATTGTGAGTAATACTAACACTAAAACTCATGAAAATACTGTACTAACTCGAATGAATTTCTCATAAAATTGCAGTTTGATCTACCTGCAAGAAAAGGTTGATTCAAGAACGGTTTGTTTATTCGATCCGAACATAGTATCTACTTTTTGCGATAATAGTCGCTGGATTGGCCATTTATTAAATAATTTGGATGTTTTTTGGATCGATGCCCATAATCGCGTTTACACCTGTGTTCAATATAATAGCAGCGCATGCCAATCAGCGTTGTCAGATTGTTTTAAAGCTTATCGGTATCGAAGGTATTACAAAATTGGTATTTATCGGTATTTACTATTTAATTAAACTTATACACTAATAAAAAATTCAATGATTATTCTTATGTGTCCCACACATGAATTTTTGCAAATGATGTGTCGGACACATACTTCTTATTTGTTCACATAAAATTCATGAGCCACACATACTATTCATTTGACTCATAAATTTAATGTGTACTTCTGAGTGGATTCTGTTTATGTGATGACACATGAAAATCATGTGGAATTTGTCATGGAAATTCGCCAATAGAAATATGTGTCAAATTTTATGAGTGAATGTATGCCGATTTTGAAAGCAAATTTTTTCAAAATGGTGACGACTGGGACTTGAGAGGAATTGCTTTGTTTAACGGCTTTCTCAGTGTTAAAACACTCTTTAACTTTTTAATTTAATTTTTAAAATCATCGTTGTCCTCAAATGGTGATCGAAATTGTGACCAAGAAGTTTTTTTTTCAATTAAATATCATTAAATGTAACCAAAATATGGAAAATCAGCCACACAACGACTAAACTATAGACAATAACGACAAGCAATACACTGAAGTCTTTTTTTACACGGTTTTTTTTTACGCGGTTTTTTTTACACGTTTATTTTTACACGGTTTTCCACGATTTACACGGTACGTTTTTAACGATTTCTCGACAACGATACAACTTATCGACTTGATTCCAATCACATTATCCGTTTCAAGCTATAGGTAATCGAATGGCTAACTTAGAAAAAAAATCACAATTTTTGGTGTAAATACAGAAATTTTTAAAATATGTCTGTATGGACCATATCATGCTTTAATTACAAATGGCATCAAAATCCGATTTTTTTAAAAACATTTAAGCATGCGAAAAATCAAAATCTCGTAGGTTTTTTTTTTACACGGTACGTATCCCCCGTGTAAAAAATACCTGAGTGTATTTTCCCTTGAAAAAAGCTTTAACCCATGGCTAAATGTCCGGCAGATTACATCGTAGTCGTTGCAGTGTTTAAGACTGAGAAAGTCGTTAATCAAAGCAAAAATTTAAGCTTTTGAACTATGATCGGAAAATTCCGGAAGAAAACTCCGGGGAATGTTTGAATTAGCTTCTGAATAGAGCTGAAAAAATATCCAAAGAAAGACGAAAGAAGCTCTCTTGGATGAAGTTCGACAAAAGCTGGCAAAACATCCAGGAAACGTCCAAGACTCGAATTGAGAAACTTGTGCCAAAAACTTACATAAACTAACGGAAAAAATCGGATGTCACATCCAAAGGAAGCCAGAAAAGTTTCGGAAATCCAAAGTAGATTTCCAGAAGTAGCTATTTACAGGAAAAGGCAGAAGAAGCTCGGAAAAACCTTTCAATAGAAGTCGAAAAAAAAACCATTGGCTTATGGTGAAACTTCCAGAAGAAGACAAAAGAAATTTTTGGGAGAATAAATTGAACTTCCTGGAGACGCTGGCAGAAACTTCCTAATGTAGGTTGGAAGAAACATCGGAAGAAAGTCAGAAGCCCGCTTACGGAACAGTCAAAAGTCAAAAGAAACAAGGACATAATTCCGGAAGAAAGAGTTTCCTGGGGGATGTTCTAACCGAGGTTCTAACATCCCTGAGGACTTCGCAATTTCCTTGAATTTTCCGGAACCCAAAAGTCTGGACTTATCTGAAGCTTCAGAACTTCTTGAATGTTCCTGCAGCTAGTGTGGATCTGCAATAAAAATCTGATAGCATCCAAGTTCCGGGAAAGCTGAAAAAACTGGCGAGAGAAGATGAACGAATCATTCGAGCGAAGACTGAAAAAGCTTCCAAGGTAAGGTGGAAGAAAATTCCAGGGAAACTTGGATGAAGCTTCAGTAAGTTAAAAAAATGAATAAAAACGTCCGGAAGTTAAATAATATTTAAAAAATATTTCTCGGCTCCCTAGGAATTACCGGAAAGAGCCATCGACTTTTTCTCGATTGATGGGTAGCCAATCAAAAGCAGGAAATGCAAACATTAGTCGAAAAAGTATCAAGCATAAGGCATCTTTAGAGATGATTTTTTAGAATTTTCTCTAAAATTCAAGCGCGGGAAGGCAATAATAATTTTGATTATTAAAAAAAAATCGGAATAAATCGCTATAAAATCTTAAAAATCGATATTCTGAGGAACCTTATCTGTATATCGGTATCTAGTTCGGAAATTCGTATATCTGGCAACGCTGATGCCGATTTCCATACGAAATGGTCAACTTTGACAAGTTGTAACTTTGTTCTTTTACGATGAATTGAGTTGAAACGTTCGGCACAGAACTACTAATATGTTCAATTTTACGATTACAAATACCAAATTTTTGGAAGCACCTGCCGGTAAGTTCGACACTAGGTAAAATTGTTCAAAATAATAGCAGTACATACTAATAATTTGCATTTCAGCTCAATTTTTTTTTTTACATTTCTCAAAATTCTAACAATCCCCACTCAATTAACAAATTTCTCACGTTCCAAAAGGTACTTCCAAAAATTTGGTATTTTGTAATCGTAAAATTGAACATATTTGTAGTTCCGTCTTCTGTGGCGAACGTTTTAGCTCAATTGATCATAATTTAACAAAGTTACATCATGTCAAAGTTGACCATTTGGTATGGAAATCTGCATGCGCTGCTATTATATTGAACACAGCTGTATAAACACTGTCCCATATGGATAGGAAAACAAGCAAAGATGGGACTGATATGTGATTTTGAGCAGTACAGTTAAAATCAAAAGTGACATTAGATACGGCACATGTAAAAACCGGTTGTACTACATTGTCCCGAATGTCACTTATCCGTACGCTGCTAACAAGCTTGCAAATGCTCAATTCAGCTAAAATACTATTTTCCGGAATTCTGAAACAATGGGATATTGAAATTATAATTTGTATTTGTAAAATATAAGAAGAGAATTTAAAGTTTGCGTATGATACATACAATCTGTCAATTTAGCTTTCAGAGGGTCACAATTAGCGATTTTATGGGCCCTATTATATAAATCGAGTCGAGCGTCACTTCTGGTCACTGATCTTTTGTGGTATTACAGTAGTTATATCAAATTAGACCAGTGATCAGAAGTGACGCTCGACACGACTTACATTATAGGTTCCTATCACCACTGAGTGGTTACTCATCGCGAAATGAGCATTTGCAAGCTTGCAAGTTGCTCGTTCTTTTCACATTCAGGGTGATGGCGTTCGGGGAAGTGACATTCAGCATTCGGGGTATGGTAGCAGAATCGTAAAAAAAAAAACATCATGGTTTCTTCAAGTGTATGGCTCGGTTAATGGTGAATACAAGCATTGATCTCAATTATCTGTTTATTAGCTTCAATATTAGTATATTATATATGTGTATACACTCTCTACCAATAATGATTGCGTTTTCCCCCCACTGTAACGATATAATATGTATAATTGTAATATTGATTGAACTAGCTCCATAATGTAGTATTTTTACATTAATTCTCTACTTTTCATAAGCTTTTTTTTATTGTCTCAGCATTAAGAAATGATCGGGCATAGCAAAACCGAGTTCAAACCTTGGAACAGCAGCACGTCACTTTTGGTTCCTCTATATCTCGCTTACTTTGGATAATCTTTAGTTCTCGTTGCGTCGAAGTAACGGCTAGCTTCCCGGCTTTGACATCTTCAGGAATGTACGTAAGGGTTTTGGTGATGACTGCTTGTAAACTGGCGATCGTTCGCTCCAGAGTGGCGCACATGTCAAACTTGGTCAAAGTGGAATGTGCCAGAAAAAGTGAAGCAAACAGGTCTCCTGTTCCGGTAAAGCGGATTCCGTTACCCTGCTTTGGAATCACCATACGGCAACGTTGAGAATTTGCACCTGTTGAATGAAGCTGGTTAACACAAAGACCATGTTTTTTTTACTGAATAAAACCGACCATCTTTATGACTAACAAGTGCTAATAAAGAATCGGAACCACCGAGCTCCGAAGACGATATTGCTACCGTCTTAACTCCCTTGCAGTGGAACCATTCAATCGCGTCCCATGCGTCTTGTTCAGTCTTAATTGTCTTTCCAGTTAGTAGCTCGACTTCAAATTGGTTCGGAGTCACAATGTCTGCCAAAGGGACGATCTCGTCCCGGTAGATCGGCAGTAGCTCTTTCGGTACATACATAAAACCATCGTCACCCATCACCGGGTCGCAAACTGCAAGTATACGATTTGAGCGTTGTTATATCTTATCGTTTTCATCATTATCATTTACATTGATGCAAGCTTGAAGTTGATACGCAAAACTCGCAATTACAAAATACCTTATTGCACAGATCACTTACCATAGATAAGAGCTGGATTGGCGGAGCGGAGAGTTTTCAGAATGTTTGCGATTTCACGCAGGAAGATAGGATTTCCGACGTACCCCGTCAGAAGATGGGTATACTGTTGATGCAAGTCGTTGGCCACCAGTCCGGAAAATACTTCTGCAAGCTCCTTTTCGTTCAGGACCTGACCTTTGAAACCATGTTTGTAGCCGGTGTGATTCGAAAACTGCACCGAATTGATGTTGTCCACCTCGAAACCAAGAATCTGAAAAACAAAATTTAATTTCTCATGAATCCCAGACAACCAGAAGTCGTATAATAATGTACAGACAGTATCGTAAATTGTTACAGTTTTAGTCAAAATCGCATATAAGAATGGCATACCTCGCGTTATATTTAAGTTAAATCGTATAGAATGCAAATTTCCGACCAATATGCGATTACTCATTTTTCCATCGTACTGTATCACAAATTAAATCGGATTACATCGTAAGACTTTTCAAAATGAATTTGTTATTACAGATTAAATCGTATATGATGTTAAATCAACTCGTTTAAAATTAAATTAAAATATGCACGTATATGGCCTCCACTTTTGTACGTATAAGCCATTTCTTTGCATTATATACGAATTGTTTGTTTGTATATATGTTTGTATATCACGAAAACAACTTTCAATATACGTGCATTCTGGTTGTCTGGGATGGTGTCGCAATTTCAGATATAGTTTTTTATATTTGTTTGGTAATGCTAAAAATCTAATCACGTTATGCTTTATAATTGTTATTCTTCTTCTTTCTTTGAGCATTTGATCCTTGCGATAAATGCAAGAATGACAACTGTAAAATATTAAATTTTAGTGTTCTAGATCAGGGTTGACGTTATCGATGGTTATCGTTTAACAACCCCGTTCTACATGCTCTTCCACAGTTATTATAAGTAGGGAAGGGTATGGGAAGTAGTATGGCTATCTGAGGCGTTTAGCTCTGCACAAATCTGCTTAGTATTAAGCGTTCGACCACAAAACAGACTTTTTCTCCTCAATCTTCGTATAGGCATTTACGTTCAATTTAAATATGACTAGTTTCGTGAATCCCCTTCCACAGCGCTTTCATCGGATCACTTTGACGTTTCTATACATTCTATAAAACTTGTAAGCGAACAGCTCACGAGATGTCGGTAGTGAGTTCCATGACGATATTTTTAAGGAAACTGTATTCAAAGAGTTGCGATTGTTTATCTGTGCTCTAACCCCGAAAATTAATTTCACTGGAAAGCAAATCCTATTTTAAAATAGGCTCACATTTTACTAAAGAATCAAATCTGATTGAAAACTAAAAAACTGAAAATTCGAGCGCTTTTCTATGGAGACTCTTGGTTCTTATCATCTAATAATCATCGACTAGAAAAATGTCATCAGGATACGCTTATAATATGTTATGTTATAACTGCTCAGTCTGGCCAGCGTTTAATCTTTATTTCACATGTTGAAAGCAAAGCTGAAGAGTTTTGTTTGCATGTGTATAAGGTATATGACAAAAATGGACTTTATAGGACGAAATAGTGCGAGACCCTTGTCACCTATACGGATTCAATGATGCAAAACAATAAACACACTCATGCACGCAACATTGAGTTTGATGCTTTTTAGAATCAGATCGTTGCTTCATTTAGGTAGGGGATAGTAGTCAATAATGAGACAATTTTTGTTCAACAATTTTTCAATGTTTTTCGATGAAAGCTACGAACAAGCCCTTGAATCCATTATAATGGTATAGGTTTCTAGCGAGGTTTCTAGTTGACTAAAAACAATTTTCAGGCGGATTGGTTGTAATCTAATTTAGTTACAACCAGAAAATTAAAGGTAATATTTAGTCTCATTTTTACCCACCAGGCAGGAACAGTGAGACAAAGAATCATGTTTAACCCATTAACCGAAAAAAAAAACAACGAAATTACAATGGTTTTTACCAAGAGGCAAGACAGCTTCTAATCATGAGCAATTTTAGAGTTGCTTTTGAGGCACTTCGAGTAACTCACAGTGCTCTGTGAGCAAGACCACTGTCATTTGCTTTCTCACTTTTCGCATCACAGCAACATTTGAAAGTTCACCTTCAGGCGAAGCCGAAAAGCTGTTGTTAAACAAAACAACAATAACTCAGCGAAACTCGGAGACCCTTAAATTGATTGATTTGATTATCCTCGTGTCAAAAGCACCCAAATTTAGCTGATTATAACGGCTGCTGACAAACGTGAAATCCGATAAATCGCCTTTGTCAATCAGTGAATTTTCGAAAAAAAAGGAACGGTTTTCCCCTCTGCGAGAACACCATGGAGCCAAATTTTTGCATGGATTGCAATAACTGCCAGCTACGTGTAAGTTTTGAGCTATTCGATTTATATAAAACATGTCCGTAAGAATGAAATAAAATAATGACTAAGGAAAAATGTATTTAATTTAAATAATTGATAAAACCAAGAAAACGCCTTGAACCAAAATTAAAGCGAATTAAATTTGAGTCGGTAAACTTTTTTTTAAATTACAGATCTTTCGGTAATTTTCATTTTCCATATCGACTCCTAAATTACAGTTCTCCGGTAAAATCAATTACATATCAAGCTTGTTTTTTCGGTAAACGTTACCGATCGTTCGGTAAATTTGACAGCTAGTTTTTCTGATCCAGTTTACAGATTTTTCGGTAATGTTCTCGATTACCGAACACATTACCGACCGTTCAGCTGTTGAGAATTCGGTAAATGAATTACCGAAGTCGATAATTTTTTCTAAGTGTGAGTTCACATTGGTTCCCAGTTGACATGCTTATTAAGTGAGTCCGCAGTACCCAGGTAAATTAGTGGTATTTAACAGACAACTTCATTTTCATCACTTATGATTATAAAACCTTATTAATAGATTACTAGAATTTAGATTAAACATGCGTTTTGCTATTGAAATTGGCTTGAAATTGATTATAACAAAATTTAATCTAACCCTGCCTAAAACGATTTTTGCTAAATTATACAATAAAAAGTCTACGGTAGCATAGTGATAGAGCCACCAGAGCCACCGACGAACCGACATGCCACAGGAGCATTTCGTTAGTCCACAATTCGAATTGTCAAACGAGCGATTCGAAATTTCAAACGGGCGATCAGATCTATCAAACGAGGTGAGATGCAAACCAAGGCAATATAAATTATACGTGGGTTCGTGTCCTTGCTCATGGTATGATGCGATCGGATGAGTAGATGTCGGTAGTGTTTAACGTATTTTAAATATGACGTCTTGGGCACGAATTTACCCTTGCAATATACAATAAAAAGTTAATTTATTTTCCTCAAACCACATCGCGTGATGTAGCTTGACAAACTTCACTTTCTAGGAAAATATCAAGAATTTTGAATACATTTATGATCAAAATATTCCCGGTGACTCACTGTTCCTGCTGTCTCAGTGTTGACCACTTTCCCCTACTTATAAAAACGGTAGAACGATCAAACTAAAAATAGTACAACGATGACCATGCAACTAGCAACTAAGCACCTACAAAATCATTTAGCTCGCATTCATAGTTCAAGTATCGGCACGAGCTTTGAATCAAACAATACACTTACTTCAAATGAGTGAAATATGCGCTCACCTGCAGCGGGAAGACTGCACTTTTGTTTCCAACATATCCGTGCACTACATGGCTCTGGATCGAGAGCACGCGATTCGTAACTGTTGACATGTTTTGTCAGAGGAGAATTTTCTAAATAAAATTGATGAGCACTCGTTTACGGTAAAAAGTCTGGTTTTGAACTAAACTACAGCAATCTAGTGGAACGGGTTATATAGCTAAATCTTCCGCCGTTGTACGAGAGAACGAAGATGTGATAAGATAAGAATGTACTGTCACGAACTTGATACTGATAACAAGCAGTATTGGTGGGAAATAGAATGCAATCTCAAATTATGTAGATTCACCAGCTAATCCAGATGACAACAAATTACCTCACACTCAAATTTTGCTTGTATACTAAACTACAGCTAGCTTTACTACCCGCCTGTTACCGGGGAGATGCACTTTATAGGAAAGGTGTGGGAGCCAAAAATAATCACTGCAACATTGTTGCGAATGGCAATGTAAACACGGCGCTTCACCAAGTCAGACGAAAGTGCATCTCCGTTATCAAACAAAACTGCAGCCCAGTCTGACAGGCAGTCAGTCAGTAGTGTGGTGGTGTTCGTGCAATGCAGCGACCACGTGTTTGTATACACTGTGGCTTTTTGAGTGGCGCACATGCGCATACACAGCACACGTTCATCTGTCATCATAGGGTTTCGTGCCAATATTGGTATATATTTTGTAATTTTTTTATAATAAAATCTGAGCAAAGCATACATTTTCATATCGCAGAAAATCCTAACAGCATGTATATATTTAATAATTTTCCAATGTTATTAAAGCGAAGCAAAACATCAAGCATAAACCATAACCGAGCATTTGAACTTGTAACTTGATTCGCTGCATTGAACATTTAATTAAACATAACGATTCAAGTGGGTACTCCAAGTTTCAATTGAAGTACAACAACATAAAGAAAGGGGAAATGGAAGATCGGCAAAACTTGTTCTGTACAGATAAACATTGAATTTGGAACAAAATACACATCGCACTGAGGGGTGTGTGTGTTCTTCTTCTACTCTTTTTAGTTTGGGTTCATGCGATTCGAATTCTACCTGAACAATGCCATGTTGCTACTTTTGCATTGGTAAGTTGATAGTTTTCGTTTTTCTGGTAATGTGCAAAGATAGGAAGTTTTTGATAAGATTCTAACAAAAGCTACCCAGGCACGCTTCTAATGCGATGATCAATTAGCGCACTGCTGGTGAAAGGAAGACCCCTTTGTGGTTTTCCGAGAAAAGGTTTTGTGATTGATGTATGAATCAAATGTAGCATTTATAACCGTTTTTAAAATAAGCAGCCAATAGCTTACTGGAAACAGTGATCCATTCCAGAAACGTGATATTGTATAGCATAGCGCAAGCAAGATTAAGAACTATCTTGTAAATTATGTTGATGCAGACAATAACAATTTTTGCCTGCTCAAACCATCATGCTTATTTACATATTTCCAAACTAGATGAATATTAATTACTGATGGGTGACCTATGCAATACTTCGCTCATGAATAGTTGTAACTCCTACGGGAAGTGGTTTGGACCTAACGTAATCTTTTGCTATCTCCCTCATCTCCTACAGAAGCAACCACGGCGTATTGAATCACATTCCTATTGCGTAGGGGATGAAACGCGACCTGTACCCATTCGAATTAATCACGGTTTTCATGCTGGAAGAAACACATCCTCACCCCAAAGCGAAAGCAAACAAGTCAGTGCAATTCAATATCCTACCGGCAAAGCCAGCGAACCACGAATATTGATCGCAAACTGCAGCGCGGTCCGGGAATTGTGGGTAACGTTGTAAATGCTACCCCAATCAAATTTTAACACCGGTCTGTGAACTGCATTTCTGAAGTTCTATTCAGCGAAAAGTGAAAAAATCGTCATCATTGATGTAATCCTGATGGGTGGTCTGAATGGCAGGCATTTGAGTACTTATCCCATTTTATGCATACGGGAGTGATTCCAATCGTGGAGATTGTTATCGATTTGCTGTAATTATCTTAAATGTATTTGTATTGGGAATAATAATATCCAGCACTGGTAAAATGGGCATATTCTTTGGAATCTGTGGGAATAATCCTGGTTGATTCAAATTGCTTCTGTGGGTAACATTTTCAATTTTCGAAAATTGGTCCCGCTCATTGGTGCTCAACGAGACCAACAGAAGTTAATACAGCGTATCGAATAAGCTGCGCAACAAACATCGGAGCCGTGTCAAAAGCACCCAAATTTTGCAGATTATAACGGCTGCTGACAAACGTGAAATCCGATAAATCGCCTTTGTCAATCAGTGAATTTTCGAAAAAAAAAGGAACGGTTTTCCCCTCTGCGAGAACATTATTTGATAGCATACGTGTTGGTGCTCCGAGAATGAGAATGAGCTGATGGATGCACCAAGCTGTGCACGGCCGTTGAGTCTGACTCATATTTGAGTTCCGTTGACGGAAATTCGCAATAATGTAGGCAGAATACAAATTTACTCAAATGTGAGTAAATGTAACTCACATTTGAGTGACATTTGCTCATATTTAAAGAATAATTCAGTGTCAACATTTCAAAGGGGCGTAATTGCTTTTGTAAACAATGGCTTTAGCCGTTGATTTCTCGCAAATTAAAGCTCACCCCTCGAAATTAACAATTCCAGCTGGTAGAGGATACATTCATCTACCTGTTGAAGTCATTGATATTCTTGTGTGAGCTTTTATTCGCCTGGTTAAAACCATTGTTTACAAAAGCAATTACGCCCCTTTGAAATGTTGACACTGAATTAACTCAGTGTATTAGTTACCAACACACTATTTCAAAACTATCCAAATTTGGGTAGAATCCACGCAGATCGGTCAAAACTGAACCTTCTCAAAAATGCCATAATAAAATAATATCATCCGAACGATAACTCAAATCATCGAACTATTCCACACATGGTTTGGATGATACCATCAACACATCGTTAAGCAAAAAAAAAAACATACAAATTTCATAAGGATGGGTAACGATGTTGGGAGTGACAAGTATACAAATGAGCAAGTCGGTCGAATTCATGTCGATGTTCCCGAATAAAAATTTACATTAACATTACAATTCTAGTAACGTTGGGTTTGATGTTAACAATTGTCCATTTGCCAACTTGTCACTCTCAACATAGTTTACCGATTTTTGGATAGGTTCAGTTTTGGCCGATCTGAGTGGATTCTACCCAAATTTGGGTAGTTTTAAAATAGCGTGTACACTTTTGCGAATTTGTGTAAACGAAACCAAAATATGAGTTAGATTCAACGGCCGTGTCAAGCCGTCAGCCGAAAGAGGAATATGCTTGTGTGCGTGTGAGACTCGGTGAGAACGGTGAGAACCGTCTGAACAGCAAACAAATTCATTACGCAGCCCGTTTTGAACCCTTTCTGAACTTGCAAGCTGATTAACAGTTCATATTTGACGTTTGACTACCACAGTTGTTTTTGTTTACCTTGCTAAAAAAGATCAAATTGGTAAATATTTGATTGAAAATCAAGAACAAACATCAAGGTAAGTAATATAAATACATTAATTAACCTTACAGCTTCACCAGTGTCTTGTTTGTTTAAAGAAATGCCGTTTGCAGTTATCGAAACGATCAACGATGATGCTAGAAACGAGCTATCGGTTGTGCCCGATAAGTGGCTTCGCAGCTCGAAAAGCGGTAGCATAGTTCTGTGGCCAAACACAACGAGCACCTCGGAGCAGGCAAAATATTTCCGTGATGAAAACATGTGTCCGCTAAAATCATGGCTGAAGTACAAATGCACGGTGAAGTGCTATCCTATCGCTTCTTACGAACGTGCAGTGACCGCACTGGAGGCCATGTCAGGTAAGACTGAGACCTCTCCCGATGCAAACCACTTACGAAAACGACAACGATGTGATCAGGAAACAAATGGTTCACAGAAAAAGCTTGCTGGGGAGAATTATTCTTCTCGCTTGCCAAATGATAATCAAAATGGAGCATCGTTTAAAGAGAAAACTGACGTAAGCCCACCTACCAATAAGAATATAGTATTAATGTCTAATGAGGTTCCGTTGGCATCTACCAAAGTTGATAGCGATTCATTCCCTGTCATCATTTCGGCATATTCAGAAGTGAATTCAGAAAACATTGCATATGTAGCAAACGATGCGAACAAAGTGGTTCACGAACCAACCCATCGATTGAGAGCAGATAATTCGCTTCAGAAATGTTTGGATAAAATGAATGAAATACTTGGACTACAACATCTGATCAACGCACGATTAGACCAACTGGACCAAAAAGTTACAAATATTTCCGACCAAAATAAATTAATTTTAAATGCGGCGAAAAATTGCTGCAAGCGTTCGTCAAATATCGAAGAAACATTGTCGTTTGTTTTTGAACCCATGGAAAGTGAACAGCAACTAGCGGAGCTCGAAAAAAAGTTGGAAGATGACGAGTATAAAACAAAACTGGTATGTATCATTCATTAGCAGTTTGTGCATCATTAAATCGTTATTCATTAATTTCAGATTAAATGGCTGCGCTTGAACGTCAGCGGTGACTGTACAGAGGACCGGATGCTGGGAGTACTGGATGCGCTGTTCACCAAGAAATTTCAAACAATGTGCACATGGACTGGAATAAGTCGGAAAGGTCCAAAAACGGCTGTCATGCCAAACCGTAACATCCTTGAAATCTTTCAAATAATAGGTAGTGGCGAGTCAGATGTGGTCAACCAACGGGAACTGGCCAACTTTTTTATGAAAAAGCTCAAAAATTCCCTAAAACGGTTGAATCTTTCTGGCTTACGTCGTGCCACAAGGCATATTAGACGTAGAAAAACCAAAAAACAACAACAGGCTGATCTTTGCGACAATACCGACGACAGTAGCTCTCACAGCGAAGCTGAGCCCGAGTCTTTTACAGGATACATCGATGATAGTGGTTCATCCGACGTGGATGTTCAACAGCACAGCGCAGTGTACTCTGGCGATATACCATCAACGTCCGAAAATAGTTATAATGCATTTTCTATCGTTAAAATCGAATAAAAACCTCATTACACGGCATAGGAAACCATTATCCTTGCACTCATAAAAAATGCGATTATTTTCTGCACAATTTGAGGGTACATTTTTTTTTCGAAAAAAGAAAAAATCCCAATCACGCAACCAAAAATCGCTTCAGTTAACTTCTACACACATCTGTCGGTTTGGCGTTAACGATCTTTTTTTTTTCGGCACCCTTCCCCGTTTCCACTTCAGACCATCACAGACACGTGCGAAGGGAAAATCATATAGAACGTTCTTGATTGAAGCCGGTAATTAATTTTGCTGAACTTGGTAACAGGTAACCGGAAACAGTCAACAGTTCAAACGTCCTGCGCATGTCGTCCATCGCTCCCCACTTTTTCCAGGCTGCATGGCTAATGTGGGAAAAATGGAGTACCTTTTCCCTTTGCCCGTTTAAAGAAAAATCAATATGTAAATGCAGCTGCTCCGTTAATTACGGGACGCAGTCAGAATAGTGCGCTCCAACAGCTCTATTGCATTGTTTTCCCTGATTTTGTAGACTAAAAGGAAGTGGGGTGGTGACCGTATAGCACGTGTTTGCGGAAGTGACATTTAACTTGTCACACTATAAAATCAAATAAAATTGAGCCTCTGCATTCGAGGGTGATGGAAAGCTTGGCGTTGGCAAAAAGGTAACTTTAGGGGTACATTGAACGAAATACCAGCTCACCTTGGTCATAACCAATGTCCGTGACTGATGCGGTTGAAGTGTATAATCACATCTGTAGTATTGCTGCAGTAGCAACAAGGCACATGAACGAGGATTGCTCTGTAGGAGCCTTTTGTGCCATCAGGATTAGATATGGTTATGTTGTTGCAGAACATCCAATGTGTGATATGTGTTTTGAGGTGCGAAAGTCTGTGTTGCGATCCTTCAGAGATGTATTGTAGATTTTTTTTTATCTTTATCTGAGAGACTTTAAACTGGAGGATGGATGATTCCTGTAGTATGCCGTGAACCCCCGTTAATATGAACGACGCTTCGTCCATATTAACGGCGTTCATTTTTAATTTGAACTTCTCAGTGTTTATCGGATGAACTTTTTGACAGTTCAGTGGTACTGTTAACAAGCATTTAGCAAATATTTTAAAATTTCCGAATTTTAATTTAAAAATTGTCGAAGAAATGCGCGGCGAAAGAATGTTGCTCGCGGACATTACAGAAGTGTGGTTTACAACTCCTTCAGTCTGACAAATTTGAGACTAGATGAGACTCACCCTAGTGGCTCAACCAAGACTCCCGGGTAACTAACTCAGGAGCATCAGACCAGCCCAGTGGCAGGTACGTAGGCAACATGTTATACCGTGACAGCGGTCCCAGCTCAGCAAAATAAACGATTTGACTCCAGGACATGCTGCCTACTGTCAAAGGCTGCTGTTGGTATAGGCCTTCTCACTGGCCTGCATCAGACCCCTGAACTGTGTCACAGGGCCGGCATGCTACTGGGTAATTCGGAGGGGCTACGTGGAGCAAAGTGTGCAGAAACTGTGGGATTTATATAGTGATGGTGACATGTCTTATTATAACATCGACTCTGGGAGAAACAATGTCGAGAATCTATATTATATCGACATATAATCATTTTCATTTCATTTTCATTTTCAAGCACAGAAGGGGGTCATAGGGCCAAGTCACCAGCGAAAAATCGCTGTCCATACTGCACCAGGGTAGAGGTATAGATTTGGCATCACAGAATAATAACCACAGGGGTCAAATGAATCCTGTTTACGATACCGGATAGTAAGGAAAGCTGTTGAACATAGGGGATAGTCAGAGTAACAGCAATAATAGTGAAAGTTAGGAAAATAAGCAGGTAGAGATTGTTGATTTGCAATGGCTATCGACTCTGTTATATGGCCTATCGTATCAGATTCAAATTTAATGTCGTTTAATATTGCGCTTATTACTTTTATCTTTATTCTAAGCAATCTCCTTTCATACTTGTTTGTTTTAAAGTGAACTGGATGAAATGATTGTTTTATCAAAATTATGTTAAAGATAACTATGCTTTCAATTGTCAACAGTTTAGTTTCAACTGAATTAGTTGGCGACTCAATTTGATGTTATTTTCCATTTTTAATTAGTTGGAAGTATATTTACTTACGTAATCGATTCGTTGAGTGATTGATGATTTACTTACATTTTATACGAATTATGTAGTTTTACGTTGTTCATTTCTAACTTAGACATTAACTTGTATTGTATGCAGTTTTTAACTATTCATCGATGACATTTTCAAATATCTAGTTATTTTCAAATCCGTGAAAAGACTCTTCTTCGTTGTCCGAGAACCCTTCGAAGTCTGATAGTCGTAGATCATTTTCAGTGTATTCTGAGCTTAAGGCGTCCTCTGAATCCTCATATTCTGATTCGATCAATTCACTGAACAATCTCTTTGTTGCTGCTTTGTATTCGTGTCGGTTGTTGGCAATTTCCATCCAATACTCCACAGTGCTGTTGCTTCTCTCGATGTCCTGTTTGATGCTGGTTTTCCAGGTGAAGCAAGGTCGTCCATGTTTCTTTTTGCCTGATACACGATAATTGAGAGCTTTCCCTAGTATTCCTTGTGATGTGTTCCTTACAGCATGTCCAAAGTAGTTCAGCCGTGCCACTCTAATTTTGTTGTTGATGGTGTAATTCCCTAGTTCCCTAACTGCAATATGCTGTGACTGCTGAGGTGACTGCATTATTTCATTATGATCGTCAATTTGTGACACTGCTTCTGGGCTGCCAATGTATGGTACATCATTATTGCCAGGAACATCGTTATACTGTTTTGCTTCATAGCTTAGAACCTTAAGCGCTGGTGGTTTCCATTCTGCGGAGCGTATTTCTATTGCTTTTGAGGACAGTCGCTACTTCCATCGAGTACGTTACTATTGGAGTGATTAGCGTATGGTACAGTTTTTTTATTGTTGCCCATCGGATGCTGTGGTCTCTTAGGAACGAAGTCAGACTATAGAAAGCACTGTATGCTTTTCTTATTCTCTCTCTAGTAGTTTCTTTCCTAGTTAAACTGCTTGTAATGTAGGCTCCTAGATACCTTATTTTCGTCACTACCGGTAGTTTGTACTTACCAAACGTTTGTATTTCTTCAGGAGCAACATTTTTAGTGTTGAAGGGGTCTCTGAATAATATTTTAGATTTGTCAGTGTTGATTTCTAATCCTATAGACGCCAACAATGGTTCCAGGGTAGAAATGATGCGTTCCACATCCTCCATTCTTGTGCACAAAAAAAGTAGGTCATCTGCATATGCTAGTACTAGGGGAAGGGCTATGCTAGCGAGTTGTTCGATGTTCAGTTCCGGAAGAAATTCGCGTAACGTAGTTAGTACACTATGCAGCATAATTATAAAGATGATAGGACTTAATGGACACGCTTGTTTTATGCCCTTTGTTTTGCGGATTGATTGCGTCCTTTGCCCAAACCATTGTACTGATGTTTCCTCCGTTAGACAAGCCTTGATTATCCTGTTTATTAATGCATTCGAGACACCCATAGTCATCAGAATTGCAGCGGTCTTCGTAGTGTTGATTCTATCGAAAGCTTGCTTCAAGTCCAGCGATACAATTATTGTTGGGGCACCTTTCCGCCATCTTTCATCCAATACTCTTCGCAGTACAAAAATTTGATCTGCTGCACTCCTTTTTGCTTGGAATGTCATTTGATATGCTGGTAACGGCGGTAATTGTCTCTCCAATCTATCCAATAGTATTCTGGCGTATATTTTGTAGGCTGTTGAGCAAAGCGTTATTCTCCGGTAATCATTCGTTGACTGTGGACCTCTGGTTTTCGGAATCGGTATTTGGATGGTTGACAGCCATGATGAGGGTATTTCGTTGGTGTTGAACACTTCAACAATTAAGTCGGTTACAGCGTCGATTGCATCTTCGGTCCCATATTTTAGAAGCTCTGTGGCGATTCCGTCCAGTCCGGGCTCAGAGTTGTTCTTCATTGATCTGATTATCGTCTCTATTTCCAGTCTAGTTGGCGTGTCACCTGGGCTCGAACCATCATCTTCCGGAATCATTTGTAAAGTTTCTGTGGATGTTTGGTCTCGTAGGGCCTTTTCCCAATCCCTGATATGTATGAATTTTCCACGAATTTTCTCGTTCTTCCTACGATGCGTCTTGAAAAATCTAAAGGTTTTTACCATGGCATCCAAGGAGCCTGCTTTATCGGTCTCTTCTAGGAACTTGGTCACCTTCTCTTCGAAATGTTGGTCAAAAGCCTCCTGTTTTTGCTTCCTAGCCGTATTGCTTGCCTTCTTCAATTCCGCGTTCGTCCGATCTTTCAACAGTTCCTGGTGTGCTTCTGTATATCTTTTACAAGCATTCGCTCTCCTCGGTGTCATTGGCGATGTCGGTGCTTGGAGTGTGATGATAGCAGCCTCATTAATTGCTTTGGTAAGGGAGGACCATTTCTGCTCAATTGATTGTAAACTCAACTCCTGTGCGGATGAGATGTGAGTTTCCGATCAAGTGTGGCTTGATATCTGTCCAAAAAGAGAAAAAGAAGGAGAAGAACAGTGAAGTCCGACCGCAACGCGGTCCGCAAGAAAATAGTTTCCCTAGAAGCCCTTCAATTTAGAGAAGAGGCTGAGTGGATGAGATGATGCGCGTTGGTGTCGGCCAAATGTTGTAAAGGATCGTGATCGGATTTACCGGGAAATACCGATTGGAGCTTACGGCCATTAAGGACAGGTAAGTAATTGGTCCATCAAGGTAAGATAAATTAATAAACATATAAAGTATCCGTTCGATTTTGGCAACACGTTCTCAGTATATTTAAACTACTTGTGCTCTGCAGTTATATTATTAAATTCTGTTTAATAATTTTCTTAGATTTTCAGTAAAATTGTGGAGCTTTAAACGTCACCTGCAGGCCTGTTCTGCGAGTAGTGTGGCTCTCTGTCGCTAGTAGGGTGACGGTGGTCGCCTCGTGTGAGGTGACTCTTCATTTGATTGCACGGAGAGTCACCCCGTTAGTGCGTGACTTTTGTTGACTCATTGGTGGTGGAGATTCGCACGACTCGCGGAA